TTACTTTGCTAATGTATTTAGGTATCATTTCATCTATGGCCTCAAACGTTCTGTTTATTTCATTCACCACGAACAATGAGACCGAGTTAACAAGAAGATACCTGACACTCATTTCATAATCTACTCGTGGCTATAAGAGCTTCGTACTACGTCTGGTTATTTGTCATCGCGATAGAATAATAAATGTGCTCTCTAATCGGACTGCTTGACGCGAATCCAAACCCTGCTCCAGCCTAGCTCGAGGCTCCAATGGCGTACAAGATACATGTCAGATTGTCGACAACTGTTCTTTTACCCTGTTTCCATTGTTCGTAAAAATCAGACATAACTTGAGCTTTAATTGATGACCTGGAAACAAAGCTAATATCGAACTCACTAAGCTCCACTGCCCATTTGAAGAGCTAAACGGAGTGTTCTGACCGATTGATCACAGACTTGAGGGGATGGTTGGTGATGACCCGAATCTAATGCATTTAAAAATACGGTCAACGACTGCGAGCTAAAACAATCATGGCAAACATTAGTTTTTTTTATGATTGAATAATTGCTTTCGGCGCCTCTAAGGACTCGGCTGGTGTACTAACCAGGAAATTGTTTTCCGAACTCCTCTCAGACCAGCACTGGGCTGACAACCTCAGCTCTCACCCTCAAGTACAGCGAGAGTTCTTCATTTGACTTCGGGCTTTGCAAGAGCAATGGTGATGCAAAGGAATTTTTCATATTTTCGAACGCCTGCTCACAGTAGGTCGTGCATTTAAAGTTCTTGACTCCTGAGGGTTTTGAAAAATACAGCAAACTTGATCCTTGATTTTGAGATAAAACAATCGAGCCTACTATTCGACCGATCAATTTTTGCACTTGGTGTTTTGAAGGGAAGGCATGTCTAACAATACTTGTACTTTCTTGGGATCAGCCTTTATAGCTTCGAGCTTAGAAGGCAGCTAAGGAACTTCCTTGTTGAGGCCTCAAAGGTACATTTCTGTGGATTGAGTCGTATGTTATATTTCTAAGGGGTTTGAATGTTTCTTTTAAGTCGTTTATATGCTGTTCAGCCGACCGACTCTTAACTAACATATCGTCCACATACACCTCAAAATTTTTACCTTTTTATTAGAAAATATTACATACATGAGATAATGGTACATGACCCCAATATTTTTTAGCCTAAAGATCATTACAGTAACAATACACACCCTAACTGATAATAAAGTCGTTCCTTGGTGTCAGTCGGGTGGTGGTAGCTCAAAAATACATCCAAGAAGCTCATCATGGCTTAGTCGACTGCTGAGTCCACTAGTGTGTTGATCTTCAGATGTGAGTAGCCATCCTACCGACGGGTAGAGTTTAAGTTGTTGAATTCCACGCACATCCTTCATTTGTCGTTTGCCTTCTAGACCGTCACTACATTCAAAACCCACGTTGGGTGCTGGACCTCCTAGATGTGGCCTGCCTCTTTCAGCTTTTGGACTTCTTCTCGAATCAGCCTTGCTAGTGTTATTGTCAAGGACCGGATCTTCTGTTGTATTGGTCGGACGACCAGGTTCAAATTTAACCAAAGGAAAACAACGTTGAGTGGAATCCCAACATCTCTGCTGCCAACTAAGCGAAAACATCTCAGTGCTCCCTAATGGTTCGAACCATCTTGTCCTTCATTCCTGCATCAATTTTTTTGCTTATTAGGAAAATTTTACCACTCTCCACACAAGCTGTAGTTACTTCAAGGTTGGTCTCAACAGTCTCGAGACCCCCTTCGGGCATGTTTAGAAGTCGAGTGGCTCTTGCATCACTCTGTCGATTGCCCTAAGGTTACAGGTCGCGGACTGCTCCAAACTCCTTTGGACTGTGATGATTTCTTTGTCTCCAAAAAACTTTACGGTAAAATGGTAATGTAAAGACCACAGCCTTGTAGTTGTTTAGAGGGCGACTAAAGATCGTATTGTAGGTCGGCGGGGATTCCACTACTAGAAAATCTTCTATGTAAGAGACTTGCTTATCGCCTTCCCCCTAGGCGACTGGCAGTGCAATTACTCATAACGTCCGATTTGCGCCAAAAATTTTACGGACCTTTGATTTGGATGGCGTTCACCTGCACTGGTTCATCCATAATTTCTTCCACCAAGGCCTTCCTGTGCCTTTGAATCGTCGCTCCAAGTGCCATGAACTCCTTGAGCTTCTCAGCTCTTATTCGTTCCTCACTATGCATCGGAGGTGTTTGCATTCCTATTTGTTGTAGCCATAATCTCGGTAGTAGGCGTAATACTTCATAGGGTCTTGGAGAAAAGCTCTAGCCCTCATTGGGGGCGACTTATTCAAGTACTCTATTTTGTATGGCATCCACTAAGTTTGCTATCGATACTCTTAAGGGCATAGCCCTTGGTGCCTTGTGGTCGTTCGCTAGAAGTTCATGAGAGCGAGACGGCTGCTGGTTAGCATACCTTGCCTAACCGCCATGTTGATGACTCCAGTTGGCTGCCCTATTGTCATGGGGAGGTCAGTTTTGTTCGTGTTGGGGATGGATAAGAGGAAATTGGTTGTCCTTTTGTCTCCACCCGTTATTTTGTGGGGCTCTTTTCGATGAGTTGAGTGATGATCAGATGATTCGACTTTGTGATAGGTGGGATAGTTGATGTATTCCTCGGCTGTGATGTGGCTATTGGCCATCTCCAACAGCTCGACCAAGGTCTTAAACTGTTGTAGACCTAAGCATATCAAAATTACTCTCCCCTCACACTTTGGGATAAGGCAGCATTTTGCTACCATGGGTTCCAGATCCCACACCTCCAGCATATCTGGAATTGAGTTATATACGGGCGCAGGCTCTCATGTTTCCCTTGTCTAACCTGCCATAGAGCTTGCGAGCTCTTTCTCGGCGAGTAATCCATCAAACCACCTAAGGGCCAACTCTTTCAGCATGGTGAAGAAGAGGCAACACTTCATAGCATCAGTGATCCTGAACAGGCAAATAGTAAACTCAAAGGATGTGATGTGGTTGGTCAGATCAGTTCTAACTTGTAGAAGTCGAGCGACAGAACATTAAACTTTTTGGGGTTTCAACGGTAGAGATCTGTCAAAAGATTGCATGCTTTGGCTGGTTGGTGGCCTCAGTGAGCCCAAACTTTGTCAATTCATCAGTATTGGGGATCTTCCGCCCTTTCCTCGACCAACAGAGCTCTCTGACCATTAGGTGACGGTTCGTCCTGGGGGGTTGGTTCCCTTTTTCCCACTACCACTCCTTAAATGGCCTTTTAACATGCGGCCTATCATTTGATCCATTAGCTCCTTCATCTGTTGATGCACAAATTTCCTGGGGCACTCCATGTTTACTGTGTGACCTCGAAGGGATTCCTTCTCCTAGTGCTCCTTTTTTTTATGGTGGCGTGACTCGCGGTCATCATACATTTCTGGATGTCAAATTCAGATTTATTTTGTGAATCACACCCAAGTAATAGAGCATAAAACAGGAGAGAGGGAGACAGAGCAGAGAGAGAGACGGAGAATGCATAGTAAAAATCTGGTTCTTTAAAGATGACTGATTAACTCTTTAATGTAGAAATGACCCCCATTTTTATAGGAATGGGGAATAAAGTAATAAATTACATGATTTTCACTATTTTTACGTGGGTATTACAGGATATTTCAGGGATATAAAAAATAAAATAGCCTATGATTTGGCTAATCTATTGTTTGGTTGGTAAGGACCCGTGATCCTTGGGTCGGCCAAATACATTCGACCGACTCTGGGGCAATCGGCCGGCCCTAGCGAACCTTCAGTCATCTGAGCTTCATTCGACTGATTTGAATCGGTCGGTTGATTGTCGCAATATGACTGTCAACTATTGAAGCTTGGTGGGAAACTCAAGTTGCTGAGGTAAACTAAGTTGTAAAGCAGAGTATGAATCAAAGTAAACCTCTTTGGCAAGGAATCATTTAGAGAGTTCAATGGATGTTCAATAATAAAAATCTTGGATCTTCTAAAGAGTCACGGTGACTCCTGCGAGCCGACTAACGATGCTCAGATGAGAGCTGGATGGGTTCCTTCTCTCGATTCAATGGGCCTCGATCTTTGACTTAGACGACCTTCTTTCAGTCAGCCATACATAATAAAAGTGAATTCTCTCGAGACTTGCGCGAACGTACTTCTGACATACGTAATAAAAGTGATATTTTTTGTGAAATATGAAATATTTTAGTGTTATAAATGTAAAAAATCATAGTTTATTATATAAGAAAACACATAAGATTTGTGTGGTATATATCTAAATGTCCACTAGAACATTGTGTGTGTGCACGCGCGTGTGTGGTATACAAAAAATATATGTATGTATGTGCATATATAAAAAAATATAGCTATGGAAAGACGGATTGGTATTATTTGGATACACCAAAAAGAATAACACGTGGACATGTCTGTCGTAAAGGAATACTAGTAATGACTGACCATAAATTCGGTGGTACTCCAAAAGAGAAGTCGGCAAATGAAACACTCAATATACGACTCAAAAATCTAGAATCATAAAGTTTAGGTCAGTGATGCTCAAATCTTAATCTATCATGCAATTGTAATTACGGGAAAACTTGCATCCATGACATTTTTTTTATATTTATATATATAACATTTGAATTTGATATTTATATATATAATAATACATAATCACATCAATATGCTTGAAAAGAATTATTTCAACTAAAAGAAGTTAGAATTAATGATATTTTCTACTTGATATTAAGAAACGTGTGTGATAAAAATAAATATTAAAATTTAGCTGTTAAATATGTAAATGGATAAGACTTGTTAGGAAGGCATAGTTAATTTAGGATAATTATTAGTGATTTAAAAGTCATTTGTTATTTAAAACTAATTTTCATTTTTCTTTTTTATTTGTAAATCCACCTGAATAGGCTGCTCCGCTAGTCGTCAATCTGAATGCCAGATAGGGCTAATAAATTCTTCAAAGTAGATTATTAACAAAGAAACAAAAATGATTCTCATCCTATGTTACCTGCCAATATATCAACGCTGCAACCTTATGCGGCATCAACCAGAAATACAATTCCAAATTTGGAGTAGTTGATGAATGAACTTTGGTAGCACTCAGCCTAGCAATGAAGTAATTTCCTAGAGTGGGGTGCTGTACTGAAATAGAAATGAGAAGGTTTTCTCCAGGTTCATCGGCATGGATTGTCCAATTTCCCATCATGTCCTACAATTTTTTTTAAAGGTAATAAAACTGTCAAACTAGAAAATATGAGAACGTAAATGGGAAACTTTCAAAGTTAAACGGCACAATTTAATGTCATTGAATACGAGACGCAACAATATGAAAATATGAAGGTTAGAAATATTAGCAACAATAAATTTGACATTTATAATAAGATCAACAGAAAACTATCTAGCATTGCCACAGAATGATTTTTGCATAACATGAATCATTGATATCACGCATTCATCACGATAGAGAAAGCGTGAAGAAAAATTAAATAAATAGGCAAGAAACACGAGCATGATAAGACAGGATTGAAACTCTGCCTTAGAAGAATGTGCATCAATTTTGTACACTAGTAGTAAAGCCACTTTTAAGGCTTGTCATTCGCTTTTATCATAGCATAAATTGTCTAAACTCGCATTTCTTTATAAAACCGGCAAACAAATAAAGAATGAAATTAGAAGATTAAAGAAAAAGTTTTGGAAGAGGCCATGGGGGCACAAGACTATATACATGTATATATAAAACCAAACTATCACATATAAACCATCCGGTTTTAAGCCACCAATAGCGGAAATAACGGAGTGATTTGGAGGTTTATCAATTTCACACAATGACAAATATTTTAATTGATTTAAAGCCATTTTAAGGCGGTGATTGGCTGCAGCACTGGATTTATGCTAAATTGGATTTATCAAATCCAATATATCCGGCGAGCTGTGACAAGATTGAAGGTCGCAAGCAATGGCGGCATAAATCCATTAAATCCATTTCTTCAGATTTATTAAATCCAGACTTACGTCTCAAAAGAGACGAAACGAAACGGGAAGAAATTTGATTTGAAGGAGCGCTGGATTTAGTTTTCATTTTTTTTGGTGTTTGGCTAGATCAAGGTTAAATCCTGTTAAAAGTATGCCACCAAACCCTCCTTAAAGGTTAAATAAAACAAGTACAAAGGAGAATTCACTTTTCAAGGTAAAAACTACACTGCTCAGCAACTCTGCAAGATTTGCCCTCACATCAGATAACATACTCAAGGTTTTTCTCTTGAAGCTAAGGGATGGCTGATATGTCCTAAAGCATGCATAATTTCCTTTATTTTTTACACTTGCTTAGGGATGTATATAGGGTATTGTGCAAATACTTTGTAGAGAGATGCAAATGTTAGGGAAATAGTCTTTAATGGGTTCAAGTTGGGATTTAAGGAATTTAAATAAATTTAACCAAACTGCATTATGCACTTGGGAGAGGGTAAAAAAAAATAGTTGCTCCTATTTGTCACTAGCAACATTCACAATTGACACTTTACATTTCATACACTCCACTTGTATCATTGCAAGGGAAAGTAACTCTATAACTTGATAATCACCAATCCAATTAGGATAAGTAAAATTTCTGTAAGATTTAACATTTAAAACTGATTGCAACACCATAGTATTATTTTGTAGAGCTTTACTCTAATCTAAATTTCAGGCTAAGAACTAAACCAAGTAGGCTAGAACTTCTCTCAAGTCTAATTCCCTCGTTCCTTGTGGGATCGACATTCCGGACTCAAAATCCGACATTACTAATACAATGCGTACACTTGTGTGAGAACCCAGAGTGCGAGTGTGCCTGGAAATAAGGTACCATAATTCCAACCACTACACGTAAAGATACCTCGACACTTAAGAGCTTAGTTTCACTCTACTTATCAATTTTACAATCTCCCTTAATTAACTGACGCCCTCATTAGTTTTCTTAACTTGTAATCATTCACTATATAGATAGGACTCGATGTGGCCTCTACAAATTCAAGTTGTGACTCTTACCATGTAGCACTTTATTCAATAGTGTTAAAGAGGTGTGTCTCGTGGTTTAACAATGTCTTGTATGGCACATAGTTCCAATCTTCAGGTTGGTACAACACTCGAACAACATTTGTAATAGACCGAACTCTTACTCATCAAAATATAGTTTGTTTTGGCATAATAACCTCATGGTTTTGTCCCATTGGTGTAACTTCCCAGTAGGTCACCCATCCTAAGAGCGTTTCCGCAAGACACGCTATAATTTTGTATTTTTTGATGAAATTTCAATCATTACACCTAAAGACACCTCAATGTTTAAGAGCCTCATTACATTCTATTTAAGGTTTCACATAATTAATCTTTATTACATACTCCATCACGTTTTATTGTGGGATTGCCACGCTAGGATTGTAAAATCTAGATCACTAGTCAAGAGCTCTCCATTAAGTTTAATTAAAAATTTAGAAATGCTCCACAATAAAATAGTAGACAAAACCACATATAAAATATTAGTGGGAAGTTTTCTCCACTCATCACATACTAGACTTGACATTGACTAGATTTTAGTGTAATAAGTCAGCTCATGCACAATATCAAGAATCGTACTTTAGCATAATATCAGTTTTTATAACATTTGAATGGAATTCTGAGAAATAAATCCTACTCAAAAAGGAGAAAAAATCATTCTTAAAGTTAACTAGATGCAAACTACGCAAATAATATGGTTGAGGATATCAACTTTAGAATATTGCCCGTTATTAGAAAGCAATTTCATTACCGAAAAAGGTTCAAAATAAAATTAAGTACCAAAAGCTAACACAAAAGCCAAATATGAATCTATGGCATTGAGAATCTATATATTGTTATAGCTAAAAATTATCATGAAAGATTTAAAGGATAAAATAAAGAAGTCTTAAGAGGCACTATTATAAAGATAAATAAAGCATCAATATTGACCCCATGCAACATGACTGTACAAAGCTTATTTGAAGTTGTAGATGAACAAGTTATAGATACTCCCACCAATAGATTATCAAGGGCAAACCTTCAACAATTATTAGGTAAAGCTTGAAATTGATAACAGTCCTTCATTCGCTTGAAGATAGTGTAAGAAATGCTAGCTCAGCCCAAAACATGACCTCTTCCCTGTTACCCATGCTGTGACTTCCACCTCTAATTAACTCCTAATCACACCAGGCCAGACTTCTGCCGAACTAATCCCTCTGTCTGGATAATTACAATTGTTGACTCCCTGTCAGTCCATGATGTGACTTCCCTTTGTCGAGTTGCTCCAATGCCAGTGCAATCCTCCTCACCTTTTGTTTTTCATCAAAACCTCGCCAATCCATAGATTGTCCTATTGTAATTAATTATGTAGCTATTTTCAGTCCTTGCTTTTATATATTTCTTATTAACAATACTCCAAGAATTGTATAAATTTTATACAAATGATGGAATGAAAAACTCAAACAATTACCCAAATTTTGTCAAAATCCTTCCATTTTGACATTTATTGTTCTTGAAAATAAAAATTGCCTGGAATGAAAATTTTTTATGTCTGAAGTTTTGTTGTTTTGTTGAAACCAACATTAGAAACCCTTTCTCACAAGAATTCAAGCATGCTAAATTGAAACTTACATATTTAGTTTAGATCTTGGAAATCATGGGTACTCTCTGATTTTGGATCTTTTTATCATAACTAAAAGATACCTATACATGTAAAATTCAATTTATCAATTAATAAAATTCTGATTTATTTTCAATTGTTGTGTTCTGTGGACATAGATTCTTTATGCTCTACAAATATTGAAAACAACTACCAATGACCAATTCTCCTTGTATTGGTGCATGAAAGTGTCTTATGACGGGTTTCTTTTTTACTTATTGAGTTCTGACTAGTCGATGATTGGTTCTTGTCAATGAAAATAGCAGCTTAAAAAATTTTATACATGTCAAATTCTTTCTTTGTGATGTGAATCTTGACTGTTATAGAAATTTATACTCCCAGATTTCTTATTAAATTTCAAATTTTGTAAACTTATATAATGTTGATTGGGTTGAACAAAAAATATTTTCTAAATTTTCATCAAAAGTCGTTGCATAAATTATAATCAGAGAATCTACAAGTTGTGCTCTTTGCTATGTTTCTTTGTGTATCATATCCCAGGTTAACATTGGTCAATCTAACCATAAGTTGTCCTACATAAAAAATGGTATTAGAGTTAGATTGCTTTATTATACCAACTAAAAAGTAGGACATATTAGTCGGGCTAATCAAAAGCTAATGAACAATAAAAATTAAATAGCATTGCATAAGTATGGTGCAAGAGAAGCACATTAACACAATTGCAAGGATCAAAATTACATTCCTACTTTCAATGAAATGCATAACCTCGCGAAATTAACTTGATAACAAAAATGACACTATTTGACGTTTTAGATGGATTTTTAAAGTTGATACATATTACATGTGTTTTGTTAAGACTAACTCTCTTATAATTAGTCCTTAAAAAGAAATCATTTCCTTTTTCTCTCAAGCATGATAACAAAATGAGCAGAATGGGGGCCCTATATTAAAGTTGTTTAATAGATCACCAAAGAAATGAGATTTGATTGCCAATTGAAAGAATTTCAAACAAAATAAAACCAAATGAGCAATGATATAAATTAAGTTTCAGTTTCAAAAGAGAAACCATTATTTTATCCTCTCAAGCCTCACAAACACACAACAAAAAAATGTGTTGAAGAAACTGTAACTCTCAAACTTGAGCAACGATATAGTGAATGTAAAATACATTTGCAATATTAGTATATATTCAATTGTGCTGAATATGAAGTTTTACTTATGTTAGAAAATGGTTATGAACCTGACTGACAGAAATACGAACAAGAAATGGAAATTGTGTGTAGAATGGAGAATGAATATAAGATCATATTTAAATCATAATTTAAGTTTGACATTAAACTTGAAATCATAATTGAACTTAAGCATCTAATGATACTAAAAGGAATTTGTACTTATAAATGAACAAGAGCAAAATGTTGAGCCTAAAATTAAATATGGACATTATAAATATTTTGAATCTGATGAGCAAATAGAGATCAAATCTACAACTACAACAGAATCTACAATCATAAAGACTATAAACCATAAACAAGGTCAAAACAAACACACGATTGTGAATTAGAGCTTCTATGTAAAATGAATCCATTCCTAAATGTGAAGATCAATAAATCATACCTATTAAAATTAATGCAACATCTGGATAAGCTCATTTAATTACTAATAAAGTTTCTAACAAAATCATTTCTACTAAAAAAACTGAAATTGGTCTGGTTTTGGTTATAGCTCTTAGTTTCTAAACTCATAGTGGTTTATAGAAAAAGTAAAATTGTATGACTCAATAAAATTGTAAACAGGATTCCTTGATGAAATCTTTAACTTTAAAGCACCATCTATGAAAAAATTAATAAGTATATAGATCATTAACATCGATATTTAGGCCAACTAGATTTGATTTCTTTAAACAAATCATAAATCAATAATTATTATCGATGCGCATGCATATTGGGATTCCAGTATTTTGATTGCCTAAATCATATCACTTGCATGATCTACATAATTTTTCAAATATACATGAAGAGGTTCACATGGAACTACCTACTAATGAAGGCAATTACAAGTCCATTGTTGGCGTGAACAAAAGACATGTAGAATTCAAACTGGATGATAAGAAAATGACACATTTGAATGTCATTGAACCTTTAAAAGCTTCTTATGAACCTATAAGAAATTAACTACAAAAATGGAATAAAATAATACAACACGTTAAGATAAAAAAATTTTGAAAGCTCACATATTATTCTTGATTTTAATGTATTTAATTTGACTTTATTTCATGAGACTATCACCAATGTCATGAATTCTTCTTTCTTTACATCTCCATGCAAAACCACATCCAACTCTCACTAGATCTACCTACTATTTTGATTAGAAGCTATTTAATATGCAAATATTATGTCCATTATTGATGGTGTACATCATAGGTTTCTTATATCTTGGGATGAAAATCTATTTCTAACGACTCATTGATTATTTTGCAAGAAGTACAGCAATTTTGCTCAAACGTACATGACGTATAACATATTTAATTTGTCAGAACTAAAGGTTTCTAGTTAGAAAGTTTGAGAAAAGTTTCCTATTTCTTTACTTTGCAGCCTTCTTTTCCTTCACACGCACAATAGACATGTTACGAAATTTGTTTCCTTCCTCAATATTGCACTATATCTGATGACAAATATTATTTTAAAGAGTTTCATTTTTTGCTAAAATCATTTTCAGTTGCTTCCATTCTTGATTATTTTTCTCTGTGTCGTTTTTCCTTATATGAGTATTGCAGCTAGGATTACTATTTGTTTCCCTCTTTTTAAGCATTCTATTATAGCTGAAAAATAAAAAATTGTTAAAATAAGGATTTAGAGGTTGGAAAACTTTAATTTTAATGAATTGGAAACTTCCTCTCGTTAGAATTCAAGTGTGCTGAAGTGAAACTTCTAGTATTATGCTGAATCATATAAGAATTCAAGTGATTACCAGTTTTGGTTCTTTTTTATTATGAATAGGTCTTTTGCATGTAAAATTCAATTTTTAGTAAAATTCAATTTTTCTCTCAATAACTGAGTTGATAGATATGCATTCTTCAAGAACATTATAATTTTAACGAATGATAATTCTTCTTGCACTAGCAAGCCTGGATCTTACAATTGATGATCTTTTTCCTTATTCCTTCTTTAAAATTGGGTAGTAATAAATGTGTGTAAATAATATTTTGTAAAATTTGATAAATATGGATTTTCTTCTTTGTGTGCTCCTAGATTTCTTAAGAGACCTCCAATTTTTCAAACTGTACATAATCGTTTAGAAGCAAATAAAGTGTTTTTTGCTTAAAAGTGGCAAACCTTTATTTCAAATTTAAAATCTACAAAATAAACTTCTGTGTGCTTTTTGGTGCATCTCATCCAAAGTTTTCCATACTAATGCCGCTGAAATGACCTGTTAGCTTAATTTAGCTTAAGTCTAATCAATTAGCCATCCAATCAAATAGACCTTGTAGATTTCTCTCAACAAATATGTCAAACACAGGATGTTCCACGAATAGTATGGTTTTTAAAATCAAACTGAACCAGCCAGCATGAGCGATTCACTATGAGCAGATCCTCCAACAAATTTAGTGCATGTTTAAAATTATTTTTGCATAAAAGCAGCAAAAATTGATGAGACCTGGCATTTAAAAGAAAAAAAAATTTGGTAAACATGTTGGATGTTTGATGAACTATCCAGTTTTAATACTTATCAATTTATGAATTTTTTTTTATTTTGATCAGATAGCTAGAAATGAAATTTTAAATTTAAAATAGAGAACATAAATAAAATATCACATCCAAAATTGTGATTTAGAATCATGTTTGAAAAATTCAAAAGTGAAATATCCTAATTTAGAATATTTAATATTTAATCAATGGAAATATCATTATTGCATAATCATTTAAACCATATTGAAATAAGTTTACTATTTATTACATCAATTTTTTCAACCTCAAATGAATCTTTAAACCTTGAACTTCTCATTCTTCTAATTTATTGTCCAAAGAATTCCAAAAGCTTCATTAATAGCAAGTTGCAGAAGAAGATCAGCATTAGCAAATCATGTTACTTTCAAGAAGGAAAGCAAAAAATAGTAGAATAAAGCTGCTTAACTTGGTAATTTTGACCCATGAAAGGGCCACCCCAACCTTTTCCCTCTTTTAAATTTTTTATTTTCAAACAATATTCTAAATAGGCGTTCAGAGTTTCCTAAACTATTCTAAAACATACGAAGCATGAAAAAAAAAACAAAGGAAATGCAATGCCTTATAGTTTTGAAAATGATGTGAAATCACAGCATCTTATCTTTAAAGCAAATATGCCAATATCCTATGGTCAGCAAGAGATAGACTTTTGACGCAAGGAAACCAATCTTTATAGTCAGAACACAAAAACTAAACTCGTTACCTCAAAATAAATTTTCTCACAGCATTGGCAGAGTCCTCAAAAGCCATTACAAAAAGTGGTGATAAAAATGAAATTTCAGTCAGATATTCTCCCTTAACTAAGCAAGCACAAACCTAGAGAACAATTTCAAGATTTCTTGAAAAGAAAATCAAGTTGGGAACTCTACATGGAAGTAAAAGCAAGCGCTGTGGATTTCATTTGACATTTCATCACAATCTATAATGTAACTTCTAAGGAATTCCTTACCATAAACGGGCTAACATGCAAGGGCTTGGCTACCATATCCGTTCCCGGGATGAAATCAAAAAGCACTTTCTCCCCCCAAGGTGTATTTGTCACCTGAATGCCAACCATCCACCACCAGTAAAAGCTTGCGGAAAATATGGTAATTTCCATTAAAAAAAAAGACAGGGAATCCTACAACGAGAACTCACCTCGGCAATGCATTTCTTTAAACAAGGTGAAGTCCCTCTTTCCTCCACCTTCACTTCCTCTCCCAAATTATAGCAATAATATACCTTCAGGGGATTCTGATTGTATCCCACGCTTGTTGGAATTGTGAGAAGAAACCTAAACAAGATCAATTATTACAGAATTCCGTCCAATAGAAAGAGAATTTAATAAACAGGTCGCCGGATTACACTGGTCCATCGGTCCCGGCTACTTCACGAGCTCGATCAGCGGAGAGATGGGAGCCATACTGAGTACGGTCAAGGTCAAAGAGAGCATAGCGAACTGGGTACTCGAAGGAATTGAAAACAGGTTTTGTCCGCACATGACTCACGCGCCCCTCATAGAGTCGCACTGCAGCGCGGGAGCAGCGTTCGTTGGCAGGAGGATGAGAGAGCAAACGGGAAAGGTACTGGATAGCGACGAGGAGGGACAGAATGGAGGAGGAGACGAAGTTTGAAGCAATGGAGCATAGCAAGTAGAAGATTTCCATCGATACGGCGCCGACCATGCTGGGGCATCTCATATCACTCCAATAAAAATTCTCTAACTTGGAAAATACACTTTTCATGTACGTGACCTGGCCCGAATCACACCCAACCATTCGAAAAAAATGCTTTTTATCATTGTCTTATACGGCCCAGTCCTTCTGCGAAGGACATCTCACTAATATTGATGAAAACTATGATAAAGAGGTGAGTTTAGCTGTGCCCGAAATAGTGTTTTTGCGGTAACACCGTTGGCTTGTTATATTAGTGTTAAGATAGTGTTATGGTGCATTATCTTAATGTTAATGTTGTGTTATGCTGATGTTATTATGTCATGTCGTTGGTGTTATTATTATTGTAAAGTTTTTGGTTTTATTCATTCGTAACAAATTGTTGTGTTACAATGGTGTTTAGATGGTATTTGTTATTTTGGTAGTTAATGTTGTGTTATGCTGATGTTATTATGTCATGTTGTTGGTGTTATTATTATTGTAAAGTTTTTTATTTTATTCATTTGTTATTGTTGTGTTACAATGGTGTTTAGATGATGTTTGTTATTTTGGTATTATTGTGGTGTCATTACAGTATTATTAGATGTGTAATGTTACGTTTTTATTTGAGTGGAGATGTGATGTTTTTACGGCATTTCATGCTGTGTTTTCCTCGTAGGTGTCATTACAGTATTATTAGATGTGTAATGTTACATTTTTATTTGAGTGGAGATGTGATGTTATTACGGCATTTCATGCTGTGTTTTCCTCGTATTATTGGAGGTTAGTTGCTTCGTTTTATTCCTTTGTTATTCCAGTGTTATTTTGGTCTCATTATTATGTTATTTAGGTATTATCATTATGTTATACTGGTTTTATTCAGATGTTATTGCGGTGTCATTGGATGCTTCGTTTTATTCCTTTGTTATTCCAGTGTTATTTTAGTCTTATTATTATGTTATTTAGGTATTATCATTGTGTTATACTGGTTTTATTCAGATGTTATTACGGTGTCATTGGATTTGTAATATTACTGTTTTATTGATGTGTTGATGTGGTGTTATTGTGACATTTCTCGGGTGTTATTCTTGTGTTATTGTTGTGTTTTTCTAGTGTTATTGGATGTTAATTACTTGGTTTTACAGGAGTATTATTTTGTTGTTCTAATGGTGTTATCTAGGTGTTATTTCGATTTTATTCTGTTGTTATTGCGGTTAATGTGTAATCATACAGTATTAGTGAGGTGAGGATGTGGTGTTATTGTTGTGTTTTTTCTAGTGTTATTCCTGTGATATTATGGTGTTGATTCAGTGTTATTCTGGTGTCATTGTGTGATTATGAAAGTCCAAGTGGAATGTATTGGTTTTATTCAGATTTTACTATTCAATTGGTATTATTTCCTTATCTAATAAAGTTTAGTATGTTTTTTAAATTTGCAGATCTCTGAGCCTGAAATTGTTTGCAATGATCCAATTGCAGATAGTTTTCTTAACACAGTTGTCAATAATGTGACTGAAGCATATGAACAATATTGTGCTTATGCATACCATATTGAATTTACCATCTGAAAGGCCCACAATAGTTCTTGTTCAAATTCAAAGAAGATTAAGACGAAGGACTTTATTTGTGGTAAGGTTGGTTACAAGAAAGAGTCAAAGTTTAATAACATGATGAAGTTCAAAAGAGCAGACAAAATGACTGTTTGTCTAGCCATGATTCGATATGTCATTGATGTCGAAGGCAACAATCAGTTAAGAAGATTATAGAAAGTCATAGTCATCCCTCGGCAGAGTTCAGTGATAAGAATCTTTTGCATTCTAGCAAAAAAAGGAGTGAAATCAATGCAAATGAGCTCAGATCGATGACAGAATCGGAGATTAGAGCTACTGATGCATATAGAAGCTAGGGGAGTGAAGATTCATGGGATGCCTACAATTTCGTATAAAAAGAGAGAAGATATAGAATTGAACACAAAGATGCTAATTCTCTTCTATAATTGTTCATGGAGAGGCAAACTGAGGATAACATATTTGCATGAGACTTCCAAATTGATGAGTGCGGTAGTCTGATGAGTTTTTTCTGGAGTGATGGGATGTTCAGGCTTGATTATGACTGCTTTGGGGATGTCAACATCTTTGATACAAGTTACTGACTAAATAAATACAATTTATGTTATGCTCCTTTTGTTAGGGTCAACCACCACTGCTTAAATGTTCTCTTCGGAGTTTGTTTTTTATTAGATGAGGCAATTGACTCATTCAAGTGGCTATTAAAAACTTTTATTCTTATAATGGATAACAAGCATCCAATAACAGTATGCACTGATTAGGATCAAGCAATGACAATAATCATTGAAGATTTTCTGCCATACATAAGACAAATTATGCAAATGGCATATATATAAGAAATTTCCTTCAAAAGTTCATTGTTGTATGTATAGAAAGAGAGTCAATGACCTTTTTTGTAAATGCATGAGCAAATATGACTCTGAAGAGGAGTTCTAAAAAATTTGGGCTATAATGATTGAGAAAGGAAATCTACACGACATTGTCTGGTTGGATGATTTGTATAATATCAGGCATAAGTGGTCATTGGTCAACAGCCTTCAATAAATAAATATTTGGAATAGGGCTCCTATCAACATAAAGAAGTGAGACAATAATAACATCTTTCAGGGTGTCTCCATGCCAACAAGCTCCTTTACTAATTGTTTTTTGGGGCTTGAAAATGTCAAGAAATCATGGAGAAGGAATGAGAAGAATGAAGATTTTAAATGTGATCAGTCTGCAATTATTCATGTTGTGAAAAGCAGTTTAATGTTGAGGCGGGTTGCTTTAATTTATACGAGGAAGCTATACTCAATGTTTAAAGCAGAGTTTATTACATGGTTTATGTGGTCTTGCAGTAAAGTTCTCTGTAAATAGGGATCTATAATCTTTCATAAAAAATTAGATAATAAGGAGACAAACAAATCTTGGATTGTTAAGCTTGACAAAAGTAACTTTGAATTTATGTGCAGTTGCAAAAATGAAATGATGAGTTTATTATGTGCTCAATCTCTAGATGTTCTTAGCTTTGAAAATGTGAAAAAGGTTCCTAATAAATATCTCTTATTGTGGTAGTTTGTTCATGCAAAGAGGGACATCTATAACACCTATGGATATAGACATCTCAAAGAGGCACAAATGTTACCAAATTCTTCAAGTGGCCTCATATTTCACACACACATTAAAAAATTTGATTTGCATATCATATTAGTACTAAAGCACAAGGAAATGAACTGGCTGAAAATTGCATGTTGGAGTCATTAAAGAAATTATTAGTTGATGTCAATGACATATTGAGTGGGAGAGAACCTCAGTCAAAGAAAAAATCAAATAAGAAAAAAATATCGAATAAAGAGCACAATTTGAATGACCCAATGAAGATGCACCCAAAAGGAATATCTATTTCTAGGTTAAAAGGATATTGAGAGAAAAACAATAGAGTAAAAAAATATACATTTTCTATATTCATAAGCATGTTTTTTTAATATTTAATATTATTATTCTCTAACATGAAACATGGTATACATGAAAGGAGAAAGAAGCTTGTTCAAGCCAAGATCTAGTTCCCCCATGCGAATCAAATTTGTTTGAATTGTCAAATTGCCTCAGTCAGATACATAACTAAAATTTAAAACCATTTGTGCTTTTTTTGTAACATTTTTCCTTATGTTCACTTGTAATTACTCAAAATTAACAGGAATTGCCTACATCACATCACACAAAAACATATACGAGCATGTTGATGAGCTTAGATGGTGATATATAATCCCCTAAAAAAATTAAAATGTATAACTTTTATTTCAAAGAGTTGTTTTCTCTGAGATTAGAATTATGTTAAACATCTTTGTTAGATTTTATAAGATTTTTTTCATATTCTTATTGAACCTTAACTAATTTGTGGCATACATTTTCTTCTTTCCAGCAATCTTTTATTTTATGGACTCATATTGATACTAGTTATTATAATAAATTAGAAGAGACATTTGAAATCAATATAGATTAGTTTGTGGTACTATTATTTATTCATGAGTGTGGGTGATGATTTTAATGTGCTTAATTATTCTAATGAATATTGAGTGATCAACTTAGCTTTATTGGCCAAAATACGTTGCTTTCTCATGAGGTTTATTTTGAAACTTTGGCTGCTAATTTGAATGTTGCCATAGCCCTTGTTAGTAATGTTTTTTTATTTAAAGAGATTATGATTTAAATTCAATAGATTAAAAGTGTTTTACTAAGAAGTAAGTAAACTAGAACAATCTAAATAATACAATAATTCTAATTATAGTGAAAGAGTTACACCCAAAGGGCAACATTAATATTCTCAAGATGGCAGTTTTTTTAAAAAGGAAATAAAAATACTAAATATGTTTAGTCTTTGTTAATTAATAAAATAAATATTAATCCCACTATTAAGTTTTATGATAATGAATGGATTGAGAATAATCAAGGGAGTTGATACACCGAAAATATATGTATTTTTAGACTTATATTTTATACTTATTTTTGGTGATATTGCACCTTAATGGAAGGTATTTTGATGTTTTCTTGCAGGTTGTTGATTTTTAGGACTTAAAGCAAAAATGAAGCAAAAAATAAGGGAATTTGGAGTCAAAATGACGTTTTTGAAGAAGTACTCAGCGCTGACCACATTAAGGGCAGCGCCGACGGCGCAGAACAACAGAACAGCTGAAATTTTTACTCAGGGTCAACGGCGCCAAAGGTGGTTCAACCCCCGTTTCTAGAAGGTTTGATGTATTTGGATGATTTTTGAAGAGTTTTTTGAACCACCTCTTGGAGAACCGACCATGGGCTTTATTTGGGGTTGAATTTCATCAGGAAATGGACTCCTTTTCGCTCCAAAATGTTCCACCACACTCCATTTTCGTCATTATTCATAATCCATCTTCATTCCACCACAATATTGGAGTCCATTAGTGATTTTTCTTTTATAGTTTAGAGTTTGTGTGGTGAGATTTAGTGTGAAACTTTCTGTAAGAGTATTGGAGAAGGAGAAAAGTGAGAGACATCTTCTTCCTGTATTTTTAAGAAAAGGCTACAAGG